GGTACGATTAACGTGAAGCTGCAAGTGCCTCGGTTGCTGCGACCAGTAGCCTAGTTCTGTAGCAGGGTTTTTAGGGTTTTTAGGGCTTTTAGGGCTTTTAGGGTTTTTAGGGTTTTAGGGTTTTTAGGGCTTTTAGGGTTTAGGGGTTTAGGGTTTAGGGCTTTAGGGGTTTAGGGTTTCAGGGGTTTAGGGGTTTAGGGTTTTAGGAGTTTGGAGTTTTAGGGTTTTAGGTTTTTAGGGTTTAGAGTTTTAGGATTTTTGGGTTCAGAGTTTTAGGATTTTCGGGGTTCAGGGGTTTAGGGGTTTTAGGGTTTAGTGTTTAGGGTTTAGGGGTTTTAGGGTTTAGAGTTTAGGGTTTAGGGTTTTAGGGTTTTGGGGTTTTAGGGTTCCGGGTTTAGGGCTTAGGGGTATAGGTAGAGGGTTTTGGGGCTTCAGGGTCTCGGGTTTGGGGGTAGAATTTTGAGATTGATGGGCTCTATAATATTTTACGGATTTGGTCTATGTAGGTGCCCAAAAGGTTAGTAATATTCGGCTGCTGCTATTCCGGTCTTACCCCACTGCTCAGGGATTGCACAACTTCCGGGGTTATAGGGACCTGACTCTGATGTAGCCAGAGCTTTCCGACACGTGAGGGTGCTTTTAAGCCAGGGTTGTCTATAGGGTTTAGGGTTTAGTTCAGGGTTTAGGGTTTAGGGCCTTAGGGCAGTAGTTTGCAAGAGCAAGGAGGCTCCCTCCATGATATGCCTTGAGCTTGAAGCCGCAAGTGCACATTTCTTTACAGACCCTAAACCCCAAACCCTGAAAGAAAGGGACCACCCCAGACCCTGAACCCTCAATCCTTCACTGAACCCAAACCCTAAACCCTAAACCCTAAACCCTAAGCCCTAAGCCCTAAACCCTAAACCCTAAACCCTAAACCCTAAACCCTAAACCCTAAACCCAAACCCTAAAAGGGGCCATCTTAGCAATGCCGCCGTTCCGTTGAAAGGGGTTCTTTGCATCGCAGAGGCAGCCTCCGGGGCTACGTCGCAGCTGAAGTCCTTGGCCGAGCAGGGTTTGGGGTTTAGGGTTTAGGGTTTTGGGGTTTAGGGTTTAGGGTTCAGGGATAGCAGCCGGAATAATTGGTAATGCTGTTCCCAAGGGTTCTTTATTATAAGAACATGCCTAGACTCCAAGATTCTATTCTAACGAATGCTGAGTTTTCGGGCTTCATGTTGGGTGCCGGACGTCAAGTGGCTCAGGCCATATTACTGCAAACAGTAGCAGTAGCCTTCCTAAACTTCCGAAACACGCCGACACGCCGAACCAAAGCTGCAAAAGGCATGTGGTTTAGTGTTGCAGATTGACAGCGGTAATATAGAGGCTTAAATAACTACCCATATTTTTTTTTGTGTGGGGTCCTTATTCTAACTATATAGCAGAATGGGCCCCTAAACCCTATTCGAATTATTAAGGCCCCTAAGCCCTAAACCCTCATAGTATAAACCTTATAGAAACCTTAAAGGACCCTAAACCCTAACTCCGGTGAGCTGGAGGTCCTTCGCGCGGAAGTCGCAGAAAGTCTTCAGCAAGGTGCGTCCTCCTTCGGTCCGCGCCTGAGAGGGTCATGGGGGTTTAGGGTTTAGGGTTTAGGGTTTAGGGGTTTAGGGTTTAGGGTTTAGGGTTTAGGGGGGTTTAGGGTCATGGGGGTTTGGGGTTTAGGGTTTAGGGTTTTAGGGTTTGGGGTTTAGGGATGCGCCAGTCCTACCCGGGTTTGCTGATGGATTTGAATTGATGTAATTAGACTAGGGTTTTTTGGGGATTGCTGTAAGGGTTCTATAAGAGCTACTATAAGGGTTTAGGGTTTAGGGTCCTTAGTAATCAGAGCAGGGTTTCGGGCTCCTTGATATTAAAAAAGACAGGACCCTACGGAATAATATGGGTAATTATTGTTGAAGCTCCCATATTACACTACTCGTGCTGTACCGCACTAAAAATAACCCTGTTCCACGTTATGGCTATGGCCTAGGATTTAGAGTTCAGGATTTAGGGTTTTTAGGGCACGGGGCATACTCCCGAAGCCAAGACTCCCCCAGAAAGTGCGCTCCGAGAGCCTCGCTGGTAGAAGAACATGCCCAGAGAGCGAAAGTTTCCATAAGCTAGATAAGGCTTAAGTTATAGTAGGGCTTTGGGGATATAAGAATTCTAGAACAGATACATGTGGGGCTTACTGGTAAAAGTTGAAGGTATATGATCTTTCTTGGGCTCTCCTGGTGACCGGGATCCCCCGAGGTATCCTTGGGCCTACACCGAGGTGCAGGCCTGGTCTTATGGAATCCTTAACCGAAAGCCCAAGTAGCAGTAGCACAAGTCCGCTGCAAAACTCGTCTCATTTGCAGGACTTCGAGGTTCGAGCCGGGTTTAGGGCTTTATTAGGAGATTTAGGGCTTGATCGAGGGCTTTAGGGTTTAGGGTTAGCCCACACCAAAAAAAACAAGGGAGACGCTTGCACGCATGTTTTCTTTCGATTCTCCCATAAGCTAAATAACCAGAAGACCCTAATAGCTCCCCAACATTGTGCACCTACACCCGAAAACCCAAACCTTAAACCGTAAACCCTTGAGGACATACATCGTGGTACCGTTTCTCCTTTAAAAGAGCACCAAGTGCGCGTAGGCCCCGGCAAGGACGCCGGTAACACGACGAAGGCACGAGCGGGGTGCATGATTTAGAGCAGCCTGTCCTTAATGACGTAAGGTTTGGAGCTTATTTGCTTAAATGGGGGATGGTTCGAGGAGGAGGAGGAGGAGGTGCTGGGCATCTTCGGGACCTTAGTAGAGTACTGGTGGCGCTGCTGTTGTTGTTTCTTGGCTTGCATCGCGTTTTCGGCTTATTCCGTTGTTGATGGCATGTTTGTATATGCGTACAGACTTGTACGACGTGTGAATATATATATATATATAT